GGGGGGGGGGGCAGGGGCAAAAGCCCCCCCCCCCCCGCATGCCTGGATGCACCACCCAGGCTCCAACCCTCCCCCAGCCCGGCTTGGCCAGGTCCACACTCACCCCTGCCCCGTTCCACTCCCTCCCTCACCGCAGGGCCCTGGGGCAGGGACAGGTCCTGCACAGCCAGGGCAGGGCAGGGGACTGAGCCACAAGTGGCTTATCCGGGGAGCGTAGCTCCTGCCGCTGCGTGCATGAGAGGCACAGGGGCTGTGTGCCTGAGATCAGCAGCTGAGGTGAGGGCAGGCTGTGGTTGAGGGCTGGGGTGAGTGGGTCCTGTCTGTGCCCTATCCCCTCCCTCATCGCTGCAGCCTCAATCTCCCCACCCCCAAATATTTTTTTTTCCTTCCACCTATGCAGCACTGACCTCGATCTGCCTCCCCGCCAGCAGGTCAGGTGGGCAGGGGGTCACAGTAGATCCTGGGTTTCCCTTTACTTCAAAAAGTGATCTTCACCTTTAAAAGGTTGGAGACCACTGGCTTAAGCTATCTGTTGTTATGCCATACAGAGCTGTTCAGCTCCTGCTTTCCATTCTTCACATAGTAGGCTAGGCCAACTTATTTTCCTTCATGAAAAAAATAAAGGGAGATGTGTGTGGGGGTGCTATTAATAATTTATATAGATATGCTTCATATTAAGTGCCCCAACTTCACAGCTCCTATCGAGGAAAGATTTCTCACTGACATGACCTGCTTATGGAGAAGCATTTACTTTTAACTAAAATTAGATAACTGCATTGCAACTTACACATAGAAATCATAGAAAATTAGGGTTGGAAGGGACCTCAGGAGGTCATCTAGTCCAACCCCCTGCTCAAAGCATGCTCTCCATTATAGCAAATAGAAAATGCTGAGAGATTCATGAAGTCATTGCTTTTAGTGGATGAAAGTAAAGGAGTATGAAATGTCACTACTGTGATTTGAAATCACCTTTCCCTTCCCCACACCAACTCAAACTTGGGCTTTTAGGTGTAAAGCTTAGGTGTGGGCTTGAGTCAGACAACAAAGCTATTTTAAAATAGAAAGATACAGATACACTGGAAAACTCAATGTTTCTTAATAACTTTCACAGTAGGAAAAAATAATTCCAATATATTGACCAGTAGCAAGAAAGATATACTTGGACATGCTAATGCTTTAAACTAAGGATGTACAAGACGTACTACAATTTATTTCCAACCTCATTTACAGAAATCCTACATAATTACTTAAGAGAAATTAAATACAAATGAAAAAGGACAGTTTTTGCAAGTGAGAACAGTTATAGTACCAACTTCTTATTGAAGGGATGGTTGGAAGAAAGAACCAGGATCCAAATAATAAACAAGTCTTCATGTGGAAAAGTAAATCAAACAAAGATCTACATATAAAACTAAGGTCCAGACTGAATTTCAATACTTAGTTTACCCTACCAGACTTATTCTAATACAAAAATTAGCAAAGATTAAATTAGCTTTAACAAGGATTTTAAGTAGTAAATTTGCCATTTGTAGCATTTATGACAAAGGTTACAGTTTATTAGAGCCCAGACAGAAGTGCTGAATTAAGTACACATGAACACCATTGCTGACAACGCTACTTGGAACATGTTGAGACTATTGTGCAGTCATAAAATTATAATACTAGAACAGCCAAATCAATCAGTGGCCTCGCAATAATAAGTATTATTTTGGCAGTCATTTCTCCACAAAAAATTCTGGTTCTAAATATTTTTTCTCAACTTGTGAGATCAGCTAGATCTCTAGAGTATCATTAGTTTATATGATCAGTATTAATTAAACTGCTTGTAAGCCAATCACCACCACATTTACATAGTTTTTTTATCAGATTAAATTAAAGCTACTCAATCTTTTTACCTCTTCTTTGTATGCAGTCACCACATCATTACTCACTATTTGATTTTTGAGGGCTGAAATATCCCTCAAGTCATCGACCAAGACTCAAGTCATGTTTGATGTTATTCCAAATTCAACCAAGAAAATTTGCAGCTCCACAGGCAGCTAACAGAAGTAACATTTACAAAATTCCACAACCTTACCAAGCCTGGGAATCATTAGACATTCACATGGAAATGCAAGAGCAGTCTCACAATCATTCTACGCTGTGGTAATCAACATGCTGGGTCAGTCTTTCTATATAAACAAAAAGGCATTTCTTTGAATATTAGGGAAAGCCATTTCTAAAAAAAATCTGTTTGTTCCTTAAAAGTTCAGCTCCCTGACTTAGCAAAACAAACAAATAAACAAAGTAAAGAAAACATGCAAAAAAGATTCATATCATAGATATGATTTAGGTTCCATCATCTTTAAACTCAACTCAGTTGAGCTTCTTCTTTAAACTACTGTACGTTATTAAAGTATTATAACTACAGTATTTAATTGTATATTTACTCTGTGGGATTTCCCCTGCAAGCTACTTTCATCTATTTTGTTTAACCAAAAAACATTCTTAAATATGGAATTTATTAAATGCTGGAGGCAGTATAAAAAAACTGGTGAATGCAGAAGTCCTAACATGGCTAACAGTAACATAAAATTAAATCTAACCAGTATTACCATCTGTAATAACAAGCTACCTACCATCCTAAATGCATCATTGCTATGGAATTTCACAGCCAGAAGTAGCAAAGCCATTATATAGCATATTCACGTACTGCTAGATAGCAAGACACTTACAAAGGAAGTGCAGACAATCACTTTTCCCATTATTCAAAGCTAGAACAGTATACAGTCTACATACAACAATCTACTAAAAGTATTTGAAGAGTTCACCATAAATCTGAAATTTAAAGATCTGGAAAAAGTTTTAATTAAATCAGAACATGTCTTCATATTAGCTTAGTAATACTTCATCAGTCACCATTTCTATCAACTTTAAAACAGAAAGATGTCAAAAAACTGGATGACGACCAAACTGTGATACAGCTGGCATGTCTACAGGTGACGCTACATCACTATAGCAATGCATTATGGCAACATAGCATCCGCAGACAAAAACTGTGATGATACCACTATGCTTCCATAGCAATTTGCTCAATATAGCACAGGAGTGGGCAAAATGCGGCCAGGGACCCATTCTATCTGGCCCACGGGGCCCCTAAAAAATTTAGAAAATTAATATTTATCTGCCCCGGCAGTCTGTCATGCGGCCTTTGATGGCTTGCCAAAACTCAGTAAGCAGCCCTCCGCCTGAAATAATTGCCCACCCCTAGGTATAGCGCATTGCTACAGCAATGAAGGAGCTAAAAATAACTGTGCACCACCAGCATGATGCAATACAGGCTGTTACTGCACCATCCTTTAGTACTTCCTTTTGGAAATACTAAATAATGGTGCAGTAACAGCCCATACTGCATTGTGCTGGTGGCACATGGTTATTTTGGAAGTACTAAATTACAGCGCAATAGCAGCACTACAGGAGCATGTGTAGACATGCCCAGTATCTACACTACATGATTAAATACTAACTTTTCCAAATCAATTACAATAGTTTATGAAATAATTTAAGGACTCTGAAATTGGCATAAGCCAAGAACACTGTCTGATCTAACTCAGTGGTCTTCAGCCTCATTAGAATCAAGTCACTCCTCTGAAAATGCCAGCTCTTAGCTTTCACTCACTTCTTGACTATGGAAAAATGCCATGTTTTCTCACATACAGCACACCCCCATATACAACATTCACCTTCTGAGAGGCAGGACGAAGCAAACACTCGTCCTGGTAGAAACTGAGCAAAGCAGCTAAGGAGCTGACCTGCCCCACCAGGATCTGAGCCCCACAGACTGACCCAAAACACTGGCACCAGGGCCACATGCTGGGTTTGGGACTGTGCACGAACCCAATGCAGGTAGACCCCCTACCAACGAACTCCCTCTAGGTCTGGAAGTTTGGTAGTTGCAGCAGCATTAATTGCCATGGTTCCCAAAACTG